TGACATTTATAAAGCTTCTACAATATAAATGCCTCAAATTAAAAATATCCGATCAATGGACTGCACAATAATGTTAGACGAAATACACATTATTGCATGTGTGGGTTCACATTATTGATTTAGATATTTTATATCTTGTATCTTTTCAACCAAAAAAATAGAAAATATTAAATATAAATATTAAAATACTAAATAAATTTTTTATAATATAAATAATTCATCAGTCATGTTATTTAGTTTAATTCGGTTAATTGATCGGATAAACAAATTATTCAGATCTATTTTAGTTCTGATTGGATTAAATCATAACAAATGTCGACCCTGAAGGTGCCCTATATTGTTAGATGAATTGCATATTAATGACTATTAGATTGCATATAGAGATCGAAACTGACTAAACTCAAATTTTCAATTCGAAATTTTATATTTCGGTTCAATCATCTATTTTTACTCTTAAATCACGGTTATTTCAGTTCAATGTCGACTTTTTTTTTAAATAACCAAAATAACGAAAACGACCGAACAATATGAAAATTATTATTATTATTTTTATTTATATTTTTATGTATTTCTTTTGCACATTAGGGGTTATATGAATAGCACATTAATAACTATCAGATTTCACAATATTGAACAAAACTGATCGAACTAAAATTTTCAGTTCAAAATTTTATATTTCGGTTTGATTGTATTTCTTACTTTTAAAAACTCAGTTATTTCGATTTGATGTCAACTATTTATATTTAAATAACTGAAAAAATCAAACGAACAAACTATATAAAAAAAGTCATTATTAGTTTTCAGAAAAAAAAAGAAATAAAATAGAAATATTACATATTAAATAATAATATTGAAATATTATTTATTGTTTGATTAATTATAAATTAACCCATGAACTAAATTTTAGTATATTAAAATTTTTGAAATTCCAATTAAATCCCTATGACTTATTAAATTTACAAAAGTAAGCCCCCGATTCTGAAAACATAATTCATACACAGGACTGTCTCGGCCGTCTCTTCCAACCCCAGCCGCCGTCCTTGCCTCTCATGCCGACGACGATTGAATCACTTTCCTCAATGCCGGCGACGAGCTCGAGCATTCTCAAATCGACTACTTCTGCAACTGATAATTTCAGTACCTGTTCTCCGCGCGCGCATCGATGTGGTGGCTCTCATCGTGAAGACTTGCATGACACTCGACTGGCTGGTGGCTGCGTCTGGGTGAAGTAGCGTCTAGAATGATGGTCGTGAAGCTCATCGCGGCGATCGGTTGGAGGTTGTCAGCGGCGAACTATGGCGTGGTAGGACTGTGCCGACGGGCTGAGGCTTCTGGCGGGGTCCGATGGAGGTTAGTGGCTACTTCGGGTGGTCCGACAGGGGTCCGCGACTACGGCAGCGCATTGTCGATTCGGCTATATACGTGAAGTGTATGTGATTTGTGTGTGTGTGTGTTCGTGTGGGTGACAGAGTGAGGTAGGGGGTTAGGTGGAGCAGTAGAGAGGTTAGGATGAGGGTAGGTGGTGGTGGGTCCCACAAGTGGGTGGGTTTGTGATAAATATCCAATTGACCCTTACTTTTTTTTTTAGCCATCATGTGTTCATTTATTTTCGAAAATACTACCTCATTTTTTACCAAAACTTATTAAAGTTTGACTTGATCATGACCACTGATATGATGGATCCAATTATATATATCATCTTATTTCATTCACTATCTACTATTTTCATTGGATCCCCCCTCTCTCTCTCTCTCTTTCACTTTCACTCTCTCCGATNACATCTCTTAGATCAAATGCGCCCAACTCTTAAAATGCGCCCAACTCTTAAAATGCGGACATCTCTTAGCAACTACAGACAACTAACCTAACAACTACAGACAACTAACCTAGCAACCACAGAGAACTAGCCTAGCTACTACTAACCTAGCAACTGCAGAGAACTAACATAGCAACTATAGAGAACTAACTTAGCAACTACAAAGAACTAACTTAGCAACTATAGAGAACTAACCTAGCAACTATAGAGAACTAACCTAGAAACTAGTAACCTAGTAACTACCGAGAACTAACCTAGCAACTACGAAAAACTAACTTAGCAACTACAGAGAACTAACCTAGAAACTACAGAGAACTAACCTAGCAACTACAGACAACTAACCTAGCAACTACAGAGAACTAACCTAGCAACTACAGACAACTAACCTAGCAACTATAGAGGGACCACCGTGTGGCGTAGCCGGGGACCTCCACCACTCGGAGGGACCCAAAAGGAATGGGCAAAAGCCCTTTCCGCGCACCAGAGACCCTGAAGGGGTCTAAGCATAAGGGCGAGGCTGTGGTCGACGCCACTGCCCAAACTGGGAAGGATGTCCAGCCTAACCAGTCTAAGCAGTTGGCTATCGTAGGGCCAAAGCCCAAGTCCACGGGCTTTCTTCCGAGATAGACCTTCCAGTCGGCCTTTAAGGCCAACCACTCGTACTTTGTTATTCTCTCCTCCAAG